AGGAAGGAAGGAAGGAAGGAAGGGAGGAAGGGAGGGAGAGAGGAAGGAAAGAAGGGAGGAAGGGAGGAAGGAAGGGAGGATGGATGAAAGAAAAAGAAAAAAGAGAGGAAGAAAGGAAAGGAAGAAAAATGCATAGTGGTACAGAGAAGCAACATGGGTCAAGAAGTTGGAAGGTCTGGGTCTTAACTTCTAACTAGCTGTGTGTAATGGTTAATTTTATGCTATGATGCCCAGTTGTTTGATCAAACACCAGTCTACATGTTGCTTGAAGTATTTTTTAAATGTGATTAACACTTAAATCAGTGGACTTCGAATAAAGCAGATTATCTGCCAAAATGTTGGTGGGACTCAGCTAATCAGTTGAAGGCATTAAGAGCAAAGACTAATGTTTCCCAAGAAGCAGCAACTCAGCCTAAAGACTGCAACCTAGACACCATGCTTGAATTTACAGCCTGCAGATTGTGGACTCAAGACTGCAATATCAACTCTTCCCTAAGTCTCCAACTTGTCAGCCTGCCTACAAATTTTAGACTTGCCACCCCCCACAAGCACATGAGGCAATTCGTAAAAATTTATCAATCTATTAATAATCTATCTATCTATCTATCTGTTTTACTGAAGAACCCTAACTATTACATTCTGTGACCTTCAGCACAGAACCAGAAAAACTTAGCTAAAAACAAACAAACAAAAAAAAACCCCAGATCTTACAGACCACTTAATTTAGTCTCCCATCCAATGCAGGAATCTCCTTGATATCACTGCTGAATAGTCAACCACTGTCTCAACACCTGCAAGGAGCTTATAACCTCATACACACACAAAAATCACTCCTTTTAAATGGCTTCCATTATTGGACAATTCTCTAATTGGAGAAAAAAAAATCTGTGCAATTTCCAACCATCCAACCAATCCTAGTTCTACCTTCTAGAACTAAAAATGAACTACAAACAATTCCTGTTATCAGGTATACCACTGTATATAGAGTTGAATTTAGATACAAAAAGATTGGTAGGCAGAATAATGGTCCCTAAAGATGGTCACATTCTAATCCTCCAAACCTATGAATGTGTCACTTTACATGGCAAAAGGTACTTTGCAGATAAATGAAGGATTTTGAGACCGGGAGCTTATCCTAGATTATCGGGGAAGAGGCGGGGCAATGTCATCCCATGAGTCCTTACAAGTGAAGGAGGCAGGCAGGAGAGTCAGTTTCAGAACGATGAAGCATGAAAATGATCCGACCAGCTACGGCTGGCTTTGAAGATGGGGAAGCGTCCACAAGCCAAGGGGCACAAGCAGGCTCTAGAAGTTGGAAAAGGCACGGTAGCCGATTCTCCCTGAGCCTCCAGAAGAAAGCAGCCCTGCCAGCACCTCGTTACCCAGCCCAGTGGATCCGGTTTTGGACTTCTGACCTCCAGAACTGTAAAATACTAAATTTGTTTTGCTTCAAGCCACTAAATTTATGGTAATTTGTAAATTATCAGCGGAAATATGAAATGAATACAAATATATTAACATCTTTTGAAAATTCATTAAATATAAACAACTAGAAAGATAAGAAAATTAAAGTTTAATAAAATTTCATGGGGCAAAAACATTTTATAAATCAGGCTGTTTAACACTTCTGACAACCTCTGTGCAAATGGCCTAGCAGCACTCTCCGCGCCATACCAAGCCCAACTGCCCAACTTTTGGGGGACCTTTAATTGCACAGGATACATTTTTACTTTATTCTCAAAAACGGTATTATGTGTCCATCAAGATAACTTTTTCTGGGTGAGAAAAAAGTCTTTTTATAACTTTGGATCTGAGGGAAAAGGTTAACATATCTTGAAGTGAGAGAAATACTATGTGTATCATTATTGTGAATGTGGCACAATTTAAACACAATTTTAAAATCTAGCTATTGAGATACTTTTATTATAAACCTACCATTTAACTTGTTTCATGAAAGCTACTTGTCTGACTGTAAGCTTTCACTTGAAAAATACTTTCTGACATTTGTATTCAAGTTATATACAAAAATGCAGGAGTAAACTTTACACCCATACAGACATTTGAGTGAAACTATTATTTAAGAAAGCAATCTGAAGGAAGGGATCTTCCAGGTAAAAATCTTTCAAATATTTGAAGTCTAGGATCACATTTTCACTTCGTTTTTCTTCTCCAAAGTATATCCGGTTCCTCAAGCATTCCCCATATGAGATACTTTTGGCATCATCCCCAACCTCCTCACAACTCTCCCAGCCTTTGGATGCATCTAGTTTGTCAGTATCTTTCTTAAATGTGTTCAGAACCGAACAAAATGCTACAAATATGATCCCCCAAAATGGAAAGAATGTTAAATTCCTTATTCCAGAGACCTTATTCTTAATAATTCAACTAGGGCTTACAGGCTAAGCCTTATACCTATTCAGTGGATTTCATTAAATAAAAGTACAGAATTGACATGTGCTCCTATTACATTTCAACTCACCAGTTCAAATCATCAGC